TCGTTCTCGTCGTCACTATCATCCACCTCAACATCATGCCCTTCCTCGTCATCATACTTCTGATCTTCATCATCCTCATCATGATCCTCATCATCATCGTCATCATCATCCTCATCCTCATCAACATCCTGATCGTCATCATCATCATCATCATCATCATCATCATCATCATCACCATCATCATCATCATCATCACCATCCCCATCGTCGTCATCATAATCCTCTTCATCCACAACATCATCATCCTCATCCTCATGATCCTCATCCTCATTATCGTCATCCTCATCTCCATCCTCATTATCCTCATGATCCTCATCGTCATCATCATCATCATCATCCACACCATCGTCCTCATCATCATCGTCCTCATCCTTATCATCATCATCCTCATCATTGTCATCGTCATCCTCATCATCCTCATGATCATAAACCTCATCCTCGGCATCCTCATCGTCATCGTCCTCACCATCATCCACATCCACATCTTCCTCTTCCTCATGATCATCATCCTCATCATCCTCATCATCATTTTCCCCATCATCATCCCCATCATCCTCATCGTCAACCTCATCATCCCCATCATCATCATCATGCTCATCCCCATCATCATTCTCGTCATCATCCTCATCCTCCTCATCATCATGCTCGGCATCTTCATCGTCATCATTTTCATCATCATCCTCATCATCATCCGCATCAGCAGCATCAACATCCCCATCATTCCCATCATCATCCTCATTATCATTATCCTCCTCATCATCATCATCCTCATCATCATCATCATCATCATCATCACCATCATCATCATCATCATCACCATCCCCATCGTCGTCATCATAATCCTCTTCATCCACAACATCATCATCCTCATCCTCATGATCCTCATCCTCATTATCGTCATCCTCATCTCCATCCTCATTATCCTCATGATCCTCATCGTCATCATCATCATCATCATCCACACCATCGTCCTCATCATCATCGTCCTCATCCTTATCATCATCATCCTCATCATAGTCATCATCATCATCATCTTCCTCATCCACGTTCTGATCGTCATCATCATCATCGTCATCATCATTATCATACTCATCATCATCCTCATCATCCTGATCATCATCCTCGGCATCCTCATCATCATCGTTCTCATCATCATCCTCATCAGCAACATCAACCTCCTCATCATGCTCATCATCATCATCATCATCATCATCATCATCATCATTATCCTCATCATCATCCTCATCATCGTCCTTATCATCATGATCATCATCCTTATCATCCTTATCGTCATCTTCCTCATCATCTTCATGCGGATCCTCATCATCCTCATCCTCATCATGGTCATCCTTATAGCGATCCTCATTATCGTCATGATCGTCATCGTCATCATCATCAGCATCACCATCATCCTCACCATCCTCCTTATCATCACCGTTCTCATCCTAATCATCATCATCCTCATCGTCATCGTCATCCTCATCATCGTCATCCGCATCTTCCTAATCATCACCCTCATCATCATCCTCATCATGCTCATCATCGTCATCATCATCCTCGTCCTCATCGACATCCTGATCGTCATCATCCTCATCATCCTCATCATCATCATCATCCTCATCATCCTCATCATCATCCTCATCCTCAACCTCGTCATCCTCGTCGTCATCCTCTTCATCCTGCTGTTCATCCCCCTCATCATCATCGTGATCATCATCATGCTCATGATCTTCACCATCATCGTCATCATCCTCATCACCCTCATCATCATCCTCATTATCCTCATCATCCTCCTCGTCATCCTCATCATCCTTATCATGTTCATGCTCGTCATCATCATCCTCATCGCCCTCATCCTGATCATTCTCATTATCATAATCCTCATCATCATAATCCTCATCGTCATCATCCTCATCACCCTCATCATCATCCTCATTATCCTCATCATCCTCCTCGTCATCCTCATCATCCTTATCATGTTCATGCTCGTCATCATATCCTCGTCATTCATCATCATCTTCCTCATCATAATCCTCGTCATGCGCATCCTCATCATGCTCATCCTCATGATCCTCTTTCTCATCCTCATCATCCTCATAATCGTCATCATCATCATCCTCGTCATCGTCATCCTCACCATCATCATCATCCTCATTCTCATCATCCTCATCATCCTTATCTTCCTCGTCGTCATCCTCATAATAATCCTCATCATACTCATCATCATCTTCATCAACATCCTGATCATCATCATCATCCTGATCATCATCATCATCCTCACATCCATCTTCCAAGCATTCTGAAGCCAATCTATGCTGCAAAGCCGTACTATCGAATGGCTTCAACGGATTCGCGGAGGTATTTGGAAAACCGGTATTTGGCTGAGGATTGAATACTTCAATCGCGGAACATATCCTTCACCTTCAACAACGGGTGCTATGTACTACGCATGCCGAATCACTGTCTGAGGCGATGAGTGTTGTTCTCCGCGCCTTCTTCGGAATGCCCGAAACCGCGAGTTTTACGAAGAATGACTTGACAGGATGGTGTGAAAGAGATTACAGAGTTTGGATGCCATTGGTACAGTACGCCTTCCAAGACTGACTGAGGGTTTGGAGGTGTAAGCACCTCAGAATGCTTGCGATAGGCCATCACCTCCTCACTCCTCCCCCTTACCTCCTGCTTCCCCCCCCCCACCCTTTTTGTCTTCTTTTGACTCTCAGGTTTTGAATACAATTAGACGAACTTTGTGGTTGTACGGTAGTGAAGAATCAGTATCAACACTGCTGTTGCTGGCTCTGAGGAAATATGAAGACGACGGTTGCCCTCGCACTTCTGTTGCAGAAGACAGTAGGACATTACCTCCGCCTCGCTTTACAGTTGGTCGTGGTAGAGGGGCTCTCCAGTTTTCTTCTGGCTGCTCCCTTCTGTCCTTTCTGACATGGCGGCACTTTGTGCAGCAGAGTTCCAGAAAATGCAGCCCCCTGGATCATTGGAACACTGAACCCCGTCCACCACGTCAGAGTGGTTGGTCGGGAGAGAGAAAGTTGAAGGCAAAGTCTTTCTGTAGACATATTGGTTGATCATTCGAATTAATGGTGGGGTGAAATGAAGCGTTTGTTACGAATTTGCTGTTTAAATCTCGCACCAGCTTGAAGAGCTCCCAACCAGTTGAGTTCCAGAGGAGCATCTGACTTGTTACCCACAAAGTGCCTCACCACTACTGTCTAATTTATGTGAAGATGCAGTCATTTAATTAAAGTCAAGAACGGGCCTAAAGATGAATAATCTACTGAGCGTTTCTGGTAGCCTTACGAGTAGACGGTAAGCTTCCAAGCATCGCTCAGCTACTTGGGTAAGGGTTTCCATATGAGTCTACCAACTTAGCTGTCTTATTCCTACTTTCTGTTAGTAAAGCAGTCTGCCGACTGATTTAAACTATACGCTGTGGAGATTTCGTTCTGTAAGTGAAGCCAATCTATGCTGCAAAGCCGAGAAGCACTTTACAGCTGTTTCATCCTTATTGGGAATCATCAGCAGTAAGCATCTCACGAAACTCCGAATAGTCTCGAACCCACAACCACCTGACTAGTAGTTTGAACACTTGACCGTTCGGCCATGAGTGATTGATCAGCAGTATGATTAACTCGCACTTAGACAGGATATATCGCCGCTCATCCTTCAATCACGGGATCCACATTACGCAGTTGCCCTGAGCTACCTATAGATTTTTGGTAGTGTGAGGAGATTTGGGATTTGGAAGCCATTGGAAGAATAACCTTCACCCGATGAGTGAAACTTCTGTCTGAGAAGTCGTTGCTCGAGGAGCCAGTCAACTGGTGTGACCGTGTGATGTGGATCCCGTGAGTGAAGGATGAGCGGCGCTATATCCTGTATAAGTGCGAGTTAATCACACTGCTGATCAATCACTCGTGGCCTAACGGTCAAGTGTTCAAACTACTAGCCAGGTGTTTGCGGGTTCGAGACTATTCGGACTTTCGTGAGATGCGTACTGCTGATGATTCCCAATAAGGATGAAACAGCTGTACAGTGCTTCTCGGCTTTTCAGCATAGACTGGCTTCACTTACAGGACGAAATCTCCACAAAAATCCCAAATCTCCTCACACTACGAACGAACTGTACCCTATTGTGCCATCGCAACTGACCGTATGAATGTATACGATGGCATCTGGCACGGATTCATATTTAAGCAGATAGGATGTACAGATCTCGCACTGCCACCCCTGTTAGTGGCAAACATGAAATTCCCTCGTATCAGTGAACAAAATTCTAAAGTATTGTTGGAAGCACTCTATGATGAGGTTGGTAGAACAACTGTGGATGCCAGTTTCTACGGTGTTGATGGTTTCCTGGCACGATGGATCTGATGAATATATGAGTGATTCTCGGACGTCATTTAGCTGTGCCTCAGGGTACATTGCACTATCAGGTACTCTGGCCACCAGTCGACGGTAATTGTGGGTTCTGAATTCGCATCGCCTGTTTAAACTCTCAAGCTTTGTAAAGGTAGTAGGAATGAAAGCTACACGACTGTCCGTATATCGTCTCCTTCGCATGTCTTGTTTTGTTTCTAACCCGAAATAACTGGTTTGTTGAACTAAGCCCTACTGTTTGTTTTTCTATTTCTTAGTTGGTTCACATCCTTCTACATCTCTGGGACATTGGCCGTATCCTTCTTCCTTGTCATGGAGATTATGAATCCTGGTAAGTAAAGTGAACCCATCCACAAGCCAGAAATGCATTTTTTTTGTTAAGCCCGTCTGTTCGTAGTTTGTGCCAAAAAATTAGGGGTGGGGTGCAGAGGCTGCTCGGCCAATCAGCTCACGTGAACGTGGATTACACGTTTCGTGCAGTAACTTGAATAAGTGTCCTACTGTACACACTGGAAGGCTGTTGTAACCGTGTCACATCACCAAAATCGTATTTATTAACTTTTCACATTGATATTTCCAATCCAGGCATTTTTCATTGCTTCCGCCTAACGATTCGCCTTATTCAGACCCTAAACATATAATAAACGGCGGCAAAGACAAAAATGCAGTCGCTTGCGATATCGAGCATAGCAGCTGTGCATCTTGGTGATCTCTGGGCGTTTTGCGACTGCTATTGAATTGAGCCAATGTTTTTACCATTTCGACTTCGAGAGCAGGAAAAATTCAATCCAATCTCACTCCTGTCACGTATGTTCCATTGATTGATCCTTATCATGTACATCAAAGCACCGGGATGCGGTTCGGGTATCTTCTTTAAAAGCGTTCGACCGGTGTGCTTTTGCAGCCACGTTCTTGTTTTCGGTGGCACTGGTTTTCTTACTCCCATGCGAGTGTCCTGTGTGCACCACCAAGCACTGCATCCTAGTGCCTTGTTTTACATGACGAGAACCAACCAACCAATATTTGACAGGAGCGCGAGTGGTTTGGATTATTCCTGATCTTGAACTAATCTTTGCTGGTCTTGGTGATATAATTGATTCACTTGGTGTTGTCTTTCATCGCTAGTTATTCGGTGGACACACATTTCAGTGAGCGATCTAGAAAAGACCCCGGCACGAACTCATGCTACATCGATTCACTTCAACAAGATTGCCGGCCAAGGTGAATAAATGTGACTCAAGTTTGTGGCATTTTCTGAAGGTTCACTCACTCACTTGATGACGCAAGTAGATGTGTTTTGCTTCATACCGCCTATGTCAGATGTGCTGTAGGGCGATACCTCGTGAAAGCACCCAGTAACCTGGTTTGGAAAGACTGGAGGACGTGGTGGTCGCGCTTTAGTATATTCTCACGCCTGCACCTTTAGACTAAATGTTCGTGATATGATACGGTCTCAAGATACCTTCAGTGCAACCGTCACGTGAGGCAACGTCCAGTAAGTTATGTGCTTTTGCGATCATCGATTTTTTATGATTCGCTGCGCTGCCGTCCACACCGAAATGGAGAGAATTCGCCATCCAGCATCCTGGTTTATAGGTCGTTTGGTATAGCCGTGAGAGGCTTACTTGTGGAAGAAATATAATTCCAAATAATAAAAGACCCATTTTACGTCCAGTTATCGTGACTTCCGTCTTGCTTTCTCCGTACTGTGCCAAACCATCTGCACCTTCTAGATCGCAGGTTTTATCTTCACTGTACACCACCGTGTTCCATTCAAAATACCATAAGCTGGGGCCGTCTACTGACTTGGCTCCGCATTTCACGTGTATCCTGCTCAGTCATTGAGATTTTCTAATACTCCTGTGTGTGCAGAGGATATCGATGCACGTGTTGGTCAGCCGAAGTTCTCAAACATAAAATAAAAAGATTGTTTCATAGTCAAGCTACTTGTAATCTGGTTAGTTGTAAACCTCAACAAATTGCGCCTCACATTCCAGGAACGCTTGGTTTCATTGGGGCCCCAGTCAGCAAATTTTTCACAGAACCTTTTGATCTAGTGAATGATGTGGTTTATGCGACGTTTATTCCGAGCTCCCTATAGGGACACAGACTTTCCCTTTCCACCAGACAACCAAGGTTCTCGTGCAGCGCTACAGTCGACGTACACGGACTGTTATGTTCATATCGACATCGTAACTTATCAGTGAGAGCTGCTTACGATCAATATCAGTGACCATGGAGCATCACTGTTTGAATCCACGTTTTTCTAATACACCATCATTATCATCATCATAATCATGGACAGCATGACATCAGTGTTCAACACTAATGCTTCACTGACGTACAACCATGATTTATTTTAAGGCCTGATGGTGAACAAAAAGAATAAAGGTTGACAGGTGCGACCTTACTATAATGATTCCGAGCTGCCCACATCATCAACATCCACTCATGCAATCTGGATGGAAACTGATAACAAGAACGCCAAAGACATCTATTAGCAGCCATATCTTGCGGCGTCTACAACCAGGCGTGGTGTAAATCAAGCTGTCCCCATCCTGGAACGCGACTACCACCGACAGCGCCCAAGCGTTTCGTAATACTTTTCATACTCCTCTGATCCAGACCATAGATTGACCACTTTTCTGCGCCTGCCACTCTGAATTGGACATGGAAAACAGCACTCTCTCCGGCAAACGATGGTTCGGCATGCGCAGTACATGGCCTAACCAATTCAACTTTTGGTGCTGGACACATTCTTCGATAAAAGTCCCCGTTGCATTACCGAAAATTCGCTTTCTTATTGCCTCGTTACAAGTTCTCCGACACCATCCCACATGAATTATGGTTCTGGGGTAATGATTATCGAAGACCTGAAAGCGTCTCAGTTCCACTGCTCCAACAGGCCAAGTCTCACATCCATACAACAAAACAGCCCATACTGGTCGTTGGCTTGTTCGCTGAGCTGGGCAATTCGATTGCAGACGTTTCATTACCAATCGAGGTGACATCATCGGTGCGTTATTGGGGAGCACTACACACCACTACGCTCTCCAATAACGCACTGATGACGTCACCTCGATTGGTGATGAAACGTTTGCAATCAAACTGCCCAGCTCAGCGAAAAAGCCAAGGACCATCTACGCTACCAACAGCCCATACTATAGTTTGATACATACTTCCCTGGATATTCTGTTGTATACCCCTTTGACGCCATAGGTGTCTCGACTTAGCAAACGGGACGCGAAATTTGTAGATTCTTCAGCTGGCCTTATCAGTCACAATACAGTCAGAACTAATACAACTTCCAAGGTGCGTAAAACGCTCCACAACTTTCAGGGCCTCCCCCTGAATCGCAAGTGGCTTGTTCAGTGACTATGTCCAGGGGCATGACCTTACGCTTTGTGAGCGCAAAGTGCATACCAAACGACAGGATGACTTTGGTCAGTTCATTCAAGAATACTTGCGCCTTCTCCTCTTCTTCGAACATGAGAACGATGTCGTCTGCATATTCCAGATCGACAAGGTTTTCATCACAGGCTATTTGAACACCGGGGTTTCGGAGACCTTCCAGCGTTCGTCTCATGATTTCATCAATCACAAATTTAAACCGGAATGGGGAGAGGGAGCATCTCTGACGGATACCACTTTGTGTACGGAGGCTTTTGGAGAGCTTGCCGTGTACTCTCACACGTCTGGAAGTTTGGAATACAAGGAGCCTATTATGTTCACGAACTTCCGGGGCATTCCTTGGTGGGCAAACGTGTCAAGCAGAACAGACCGGTCAACCGAGTCAAAAGCGCCTTGAAAATCCAGGAACACTGAAATTGTGGGTCGCTTATATGCATGACGTTGTTCTAGCACCTGACGAAGTGTGAAGATTTGGTCAACGCAACATCTACAAGGTCGGATTCCCGCTTGCTGCTCTCGAGTTAGTGTCTCACGAGGCACCGTAAGGTGACAAACCACAAGTGACGCCAACAGTCTCTTTACGACCGGGGTTAAGCTTATTCCCCTGTGGTTGCCACACCCACTACGAGCCCCTTTTTTTAAAAATGGGAACTATCGCCGACCCTTCCCGGTTGTTTGGGACAGACTCCTTTTCTCATATGCAAGCAAACAAATCAGACAAGTGCTGACTGCGAAATTCACCCCCATCTTTGGACAGTGCGGTTGGGAGGTCATCCGGACCAGAGAATCGGTGGCGCTTAAGATAACATATGCAGTCATAAACCTCGGAGGCCGTAGGCGGTTCCACGTTCACCGTCCACCGTTCTACGTCACCTGTGGGTTCCAGATAGGTGCCCGCTGGTGGCCATGACAATTGTTCGAAATATTCGGCCCAACGGTTGAGGCGGTCTTCTCTGTTTGAGAAAGTCACTCACAGGTGGTTTCCGAGGCTCCATCGCAGGATCAACGGAAATAATTTTCGGACCTCGCCGGCTTTCTGTGTCCATCACACGTCACGGTGGACTTTTACGCTCTCCTTCACTTGACGTCTGATAATTCGTCGCATTAAGTTATGTTCCGAGTCGGCTGAGATATTTCTCGGAGATTTAAGCAGTGCCACCGTTCGGTCTGATATCCAGTGCTTGGGTGCGCCTGGTGATGCCGTGTCACAGACGGAATTCCCAGCACTATGCAAAGAGGTGGCAATCTCCTCCCGGTATGAGTTCATATCTGATGGTGGAGCATTTGGAAGAGAGTCTAAAAGACGACTCTGATAAGTTCGTCTAACATCCGGATCTACCAGACTTTCACTTGCCCAGCGATTTGTCTGCACCTTACGCGGCCCCGGAAAACGTAGAAAAAAGCGACTCCGGACGAGCGCGTGGTCAGAATCCACAAATCTGTTCCGAAACTACCGGCAGTCAGTTATTGATCCGCGCCATCGGCAACTGATGGCAATGCGGTCGATTTGAGTTTGTGACTGGCCTGCTGTTGGAGTGCACCATGTTGCCAGACGATTTCGGCTATCTCGGTAGTTAGTACTGCATAAAAACAGCCTGCGGTCCGCACACAGCTGAAGCAATCGTTCCCCATTGTCTGTACGTACCGAGTCCAATCCATATCGACCTCCTAATTGAGTCTCAGATACGCTAAGCCTGCCCACGTGTGCATTCAACCAGCAACCTCCACGATGTCTGAGCTTTTAGCTCGCCGCAGCAGGGTATTCATGGCTTTATAAAACCTGTCTTTGACGGCGTCGGAGCTACAGTCGGTTGGGGCCTAAGCGGACATCTATCAACTTCCCGCTTGTGAGAGTCCTTCACAGACGTTGTCAGACGAACCGCGCAGAGGCGACTCTCAATAGGTATCCAGTCAAGCAAGGATCCTTCTGCCCGGTGACTTAGGGCGATACCAACCTTTGCACATCCCGCTGCAGCAGCCTCGGTATCACCAGAGGTGCGCAGCCGGAAGCGAGTGGAGACTGACGGAGCGGTTAGCTCAATCACTGTGCTTGCATTATGAATTCTTGTTTCTGCGACACAGCACACATCAATGCCAAACTAGTCCAGTGTGAGAGCAAGAGCAGCTTGTTGTCCTGCTTGCTTCAGAGTGCGCACATTGAAGGGGGCAGATGGACAGAGTGTCGAGGCTTAAAAATTTATTTTAAGGTACCTGACGATATCGGCGCCATGTGACGAGCAGATGCTGCACACAAAACCTTTGCAAGACGAACGGAGTCATCAGTCCTAATTGCTGAGCTTACGAAATGAGGGTTATTAATGGGGTGGGGAGAGGGGGAAGAAAAAGTATGTGAAAGAGAAAGAAGAGAGGCGTCGGCAGTAGTCTGTTTTCGCTTATCCGCTCTGCTGTGTGCAGCAAGTAAGGCGACTCGGTTGATGGCATCACGAGACGGCAGATGTTGCATGACTTTACTTGTATGTATGCAGTTCATGGGTGTACGTGGGCTGGGATAATGTTAGGGCGCCAACACCTAGCCTTTGGCTCAAACGCCTAACCGCAGGGCAGCGGTATTTAGCGGGAAATGCAAATGTCTTACAATTTCTACGGGACAAGCCGCCACATGTTCCAACCCCAACCTGGAGGACCAGGATACTATGTTCGTCAGACCAACCTGGTATGAGAGACACTGTGAGTGTCGCGGGGACACCCCCAGTATAGCTCAGTGGGTCGATGAGGTGCGCGAACGTCACACCATGGCAATGTCCAGTCTCTTCGTGACGGAAGTCTGAGAATACAAAAAAATGATTATGTTCACAAAATTCCGAGGCATTACTTGATGGGCAAGCTTGTTAACGAGAACAGACCGGTCAACGGGGTTGAATGCGCCTTCAAAATCCAAGAATACCAAAATTGTGAGTCGTGTGTTCGTGAGGCTTGCTACTCTCGAGTCAGTGTTTCACGAGTCACCATAAGGCGGCCGACGATAAGTGACGCCAACAGTCTGGTTACAACCGGGGTTAAGCTGATCCCTCTGTGGTTGCCGCACCCATTACGAGCCCTTTTTTGAAAGTGGGCGCTATACTCTTAGCTTTCTGAGCAGTTCACTATTCCCAAATACAGGTGAACAGATCAGACAGGCGCTGACCCCTTTCTTTCATCTCTCTCTGAACAGTGCGGATGGGAGGTTATCCAGGCCAGAAGCATTTCTCAGAGGTTTAGGCAGCGCCACTTTTCGGTCTGATATTCAGTGCTTTATTTAGCCTAGTTGCACCGTGTCAGAAGCAGACCCGCTCTGCTGTATGTAGCGAGTAGGGCGACCTGGCTGATGGCACAATTAGGCGGCCGACATGGCATGTGTTCATTTGTGTATGTGCAGTTCGTGGTTGTACATGGTATAGGATACTGTCAGGGCGCACACACCTAGACAGGAGGACGATTAGGGTCCTCAACGAAAGCCTTTCGCTCAAAAGCCTGACCGCTGGAAATGCAATTACGTTACCATTTCTATGGAACGCGTCACCACACATGTTCCAACCTCCAACCTGGAGTTCCGGTAGACTGTGTTCGTCAGACACCTAACCATTGACCAATTTTATGTGAGAGTCTCTGCGAGTGCCGCGCGGACACCACCCAATGTAGCTCCATGGATCGCCGAGGTACATAAACCACCACACTACGAGTACACCTCAGAAGTAACCACCGGTTACTTCTGTGAATTGGTTTTAATGACTTTTTAAAACAGTGTTATAGCAGTTCGGTGTGTTTAAAATCAAAACTTAACATAGATTCACTGAACGTTTGCCGCTTGGAAATCTGGATGCTTTACTTATCAGCATTTCGCACATTTTTCCAAAGCTCTTTAAGAAAGTGCTGTATTGCGACTAACACTGAATAACTTGTGTGCATCTTTTATCCGGTACCATAGATCTTTGGGATTCGTCAAGAATGATAATTCAAAAGCATAAATTGGATGACACGGCTTCAATGAGATCATGGTATAAAGTACACAGGTTATTGTCGGCGTCACTTGCTTCGTTAAGTGCTCTGTGTACTATACTGCTCTGTATTGTGTACATTTTTGGCGCATGGGATGAACTTCCGGGCCTCATTAACACAATTATCATCACCGTAAACGTCAATGCACCTGTAGACTTACTGCTAGCAGCTGGAAGGATAAACAAACAGGAATTCGCGCTTGAAGGCACAGGTGGTCAAAAACGAGTTTATCGAAGTATGCTTCTAGGTTAAATAAAACTTACAGGATTGTCGCTGTTATCTGCTAACTAGGGACAAGAACGCTTGCTAAAACCGTTAGAATTCTTCTGGCCTTGTTTGGGTATGCTTCTAGCTTCAGAACACCATCTTACTTCAGTTGGTCCTTCGTCCATGCTGTGGCCCACGGCAACTATTTCACCGACATCTCGGTAAACTTCCCGTAAATTTCTGCATTGGGAGGTGAGCACTAGCTTCTATCATTCATCTAACTGTATTTGTTTAGCTGCATCCATCCCCCGTTTTTATTATGCCATTTGGTATTTCGTTTGGCAGTTTTTCTGTCACTCTACTTTCGTCTTCTGTTACTTTTTTAGTGCCTCATCCAACGGTGCTTTGTGCTTTGACCTTGCTTCTAACACACTTGGTACGCCGTTTGTATGAATCTAAATGCATATCGGTCTACGGGCGCAGCCGTATGTCATTTACCCATCTTATTTTGGGTATTTCATTCTATTTGGTCGTACCAGCAGCTATCTATGCTTCACGTACATCCGCATGTAAGTGCTCTAATATCTGCAGTCACTGTTGTTTCTTCTTGTTTGACGTGCCCATATACGTGGTACGTAGTATGCTACTGGCTGTTTTTAGCCCGCAATCCCATCAAGAGCTTCAGAAAAGCTGTTTGCATGTTCAGTAGCCTTCCACAGCCTTCTGTCTACTCCTGAACCTGCGCAAAAGAAATAACAAACCTCACACCCTCGGATAACAAATTACTTCTGTACTTCACCAAGTAAATTAGCAAACACTGTTTTAAATACTCGGTGTCTCCTCTCAGGTTTTGAAACACCATCAACAACCATAAGTGTGTGCGCCAGTAAATTCGCTAGTAGTCGTTAAAGGAGGAAAACGGGTGTTCTATTTTTCTTACGCGCTCTCTCTGTTCGGAAGAGATTTAACACTGGGTGAAGGGAAGAAGGCCTTCGCTGCGGAATTATTTATTAGATCATGTCAACTTAGCAGTTACAGACTATTGGACAGGGAAACAAAACTCTCATATGCATCTTGTTTACAAAAACCGAATATCCATCTTCTCTTTGAACGCGTCTTTCTGAACTTTCCTCGATATTCATTGACTGTTGCTCAAATCCAAGCAAATGCTACAAAGCGACTCCACAAATTCCTAAATAGATATCCATTTTCAAGGGACGCAAAGCGAATTAGCAAGACGAAAACAACTACTCGCATGCTCCCATCAGTAGTATCACCGGCACGTGGGTAGTGACCACTGTTGAACACTTATGTGAACATTTTGGAAAGCGTTCTTCTTGGAACTTTCGCCCCTTATGGTAAATACCACTTATCTCCTGCAGTGAGTTTAAACAGGATGGGATGTCTATTCCAACTCTCACACTGGAACCAGCACTGTACTTTCTTTTCCAGCTGCCTCCTTTGTCGAAGCCCATTAACCACACTGTGCTTTATCCGTAATATGTGAGGACTTAGTGGTCATTGTTTCAGCCAGTAATTACACGACTGATTCCTAATCGGGCGGGGCGTAGAATTCCCCCAGGGGGGGTCCCAGGTATTCAATATGGGGATGGAGATACTATCTGGCGAAATCGTAGCTGATTAGCCACTCATGACCGAACGCTGTTTTCTGGAACTACCAGCTGGGAGATTGCGAGCTCGAAAATTCCCTGAGATTCGTGAGAAGTGCGTTGCTGAAAGGGTTAAAGGAGGAAAGCTGTTCGCCGCGAAGTAATTTGTTTATTAGCAAATACCGCCTAAGCAGTTACAAGCTATTGAGCAGGAAAGTAAGCGTCCCCAATCCACATATTTTTTAAAAACTGAACAATTTCAAGCTCTTCTGGAACTTTTATGGATACTCATAGACTATTACACAATTGTAAACGATAATGTAATGCATTTTCATAAGTTCCGTAGTAAGCTTCACCTTCCGTTAGACACGGGGTGGAGATTCAACCACAGACTACTCGCATGCCTCATCCGTAGTTTACGCCATTACAGGGGTAATATGGCTGTACAGTTCTTCATGGCCTGTCGCAGATTGACTTCTGGTGATGGGTCCGAATTACGTAACGCTGGGATTAATTGACATTTCTCGCATTTAACATAGCTGTTCTTGTTTAGTCAGGACACGTCGGCTCTGCAAGTTATCACAACCAGTTTGAGATGAATCAGCGAGGATTTACAGGGATGAAAGGTCGAAATATTGCAAAAATAAATGGTTGGGCTTCATTAGCCTGGAGCAATAATCTATTTCACTTTTCTCAGTTTCGCACATGAGGACCAGATACGTGTACCGAGCCAAGAAGTTCAGTCAAAACAACTAAATAAGTCATAACAGTTCTGTATCGGGCGTGGTGTCCCTATCTGCCTCTATTATTAGGGCTTCTCAGGGGCGTATATCCTTGGCCGTACCGGGCACTGAACTTGCGAGGTGACCATGTCACCACGAAACCACCAACGCCTGTGGACGTACCTGCACGTCACACTTGAACTGGCGTAGGTGTTCCCGTTTTAGCGATGTGATTGGTTTTCAAATCGCCTGGAGCGGCGACCCTGTATTTATCCTGATTGGGTCGATGGATAACGTGGAGTGTGCGGGACACTATCATCATACCGGACCATCAGGTTTGGTCGAAGATCAAATGTGGGTGAATACTCCCGGCGTGTTGCTTGTTGAACCCTGTGCATACCTTGCTCTTGCCACATTACACAAGTTTTATATGCATCATCCATTTTGTTCCTTACCATTTGACACTTGAATGCACTTTTTCTTGGGCCTATTGCGCATACTGTCAAGATTTTTCTTAGTAGGTTCGTTGTAGATAAACCCACATGTCATCCTTGATTAATAATGTTAATCGTTCCCGTGACGATTACTTTGCTGTTTGCGGGATCTCCGGAAAAAAATCAACGCTCATACAACCTTGGTCAGGAGTCGTGCACTCGTTGCTCAAGATGATGCTAGCGGAAAACGGAGAATGCTCGCTTTTGGCAGATTACGATAGTAAATTATCGATGCCAGAGCAGACGCTGCATAAGCATTTTTAGCATCAGAAATTTGGAAGCGTGCCAACAACAGTCAATGGAAGAGCTACTTGGTAAGAAGATAATCGTCTTCAATCGTATACTAGTGGCACAGTGGTCCTCGCTGACAGGTTACTTCTGTATTATTCATTTCTTTTTGGTGACGTATGTTTTCATTTATAAAATTAAAAACCTCGGTCCTTGAAATACAATCCCTCTCTCAAAGTAGTTGATGTGTGTGTTGTTGTTCCTGCGTGACAGACCGGTCGAAATAAGAAGACTCTCCGGCAGACCCCGCCAATGTCGTAAATTCCCCCGACGTTTTTGTCATGTTAGTCAGGGATTACACGGGAAATGGTTTGATGGACAATTCCCTATGCTAATCTAAGTACCCGATTTTAGCTAGGTCAACAGCCCACTATAGTTTGAAAGTGGATTGATAAACTTACTTTTTTCACCTCCCTCTTTTGTACGTGGCCTAGTGAATTGTTCGGAGGGCACTTCACACACCAGCTACATCGCACCCGACTTTGTTATTTTGAGGAGGGGCTGGTGGACCATAGGCTTGTTATGAGTCAGACTCAGATAATGACGCGATTTTCCAACAATAGGAACGTCTCCCGATTTAATTCGGAGACCCTATATTGCCTGCGCCAACACTCAAGTATTTCTTTTTTCATTCCTGTTTCCGCATTTTATCCAAGAGCAGTGCCTGTCTTGTCTGTGAACGTGGTAAGTAGGGGCGAAATGGCCTAGCGGTTAGAGGGCGAATTTACTGACCGGAAGGTACATGGTTCGAGCCCGACCTCTGTCTCCCGACTAACCTTGTCTAGGCTTGGGCAGTATCCCAGCCCTCGTGCATCCTTTGGGTGGCATGGCAACTAGGCACACAAAGGGTGTTACAGCTTACTGATTATATTATTATCGCGGTTCACCATTCATTTCACTGCCGTATATTATGTTAAGTGGTAATTGCAGGATATCAATCATTTACTAGTAGCACTGTGGTTCACCGGGGCATGTCTCAGTGAGTGACATTCGCATGGCCAGTGTTTTGGTGGATTGCGCCTTTATAATAGTGTCCACTAATATTCTGATCAGTAAGTCCGTGCTATCAAGTATCATTTGCATCGTGTCGTGCAGGAAGTCAGATCACCAGTTCCCGTTTGTGTGATGTGTTGATTACGTCTGTGTCTTCTCCTTTCTTAGCAAATCGTTCGCCTTTTTCACTTGGCATGTTCGCGCTGGAAATTTCGATTTTACAGTATTCCCAACATTTGACTCTCAAGCAACTAGCCCTGCTACGTCGCCCAGTCATGGAACCAAAAGGCAGGTGACATTTGTGGGTATTTCGGTCAAAGAAACCGAACCCCTGTTTTTCTTTTTACTATGTATTTTACTTCCAATTTACTCACCCACCTAATTGTCAATGCTATATCGATGCAACTAACGGCATTTCGGCGTCAGGCACAACTACCTTTTGCAATCTTTCGCCACTATAACTTTTGAGCGCCTCAAGCCACGTTCGGCACTTTTGCGCAGCTGTTTCCCGTTTTAAACTCTTGTTGGTAAAAAAAATTTCTGGAGATAGACTATTGCAACAGAATACGATAAAAAATTGGTCTCTAGTGAATTAGGCGCTATGCGCTCTTTGCCAGTTTTCAGATCCAACCGATTCATTTCACAAATGACTGGGAGCTCTACAGGGCAAGGTATGTAACTGATTCCAGTGACACTTAGCTCACTGTCGCTTTTTGGTAGACCGTTCTCTATTTCTGACTGTTCATGGGGCTACCGGTGCACGGTTCTTATAGGGATAATTCGTCCCTCTTTGATAATACTAGAAGAAAATTGTTTCCAAATCTGCCAAATTTTCTTCGAGAAGCTGCAAAAATTCTGATCGCGAATTCTAAACGGGGGAAAATGAACTGTTTGCAAAGCGCATATTTAGCTCTACAGAATGCGCTTCCTGGTTTCTTTGCAGATCAAAGGTAATATCAATAAACGCGGTCATAAACTCTGATCAGCAGTAATAATTTTGTAAAACCTCCGATCCGGAGAATTGCTCGATAATAAAGCGTTGATATTGAATGACCGCTGTAAATCCGGTGCATTTTTAACTATTCTGCTTTACTGGCCGACAACACAACTAATCAAAATATTGCCGCTGAAGCATATTGTGAATAGGCGGTCATGAACTGGAAACTTAGCACAGGATTTAGTTTTCGAATGAAGCCTTCACAAAGGAGACCCACTTTATGGAGTAAACCTCGCGCAGTGTAGTGTTCGACAGAGTGAACGCATGCCAGTAGTGCCTTTTATAGAAATTCTGGTCAGCTGTATCGCTCAAGCCGGTCATATCAACCATATTATTCAGTCCATCACAGTAAACCGGTGTTATACTGTATCTGTTATAACCACTTATTAACTGGCTTGAATCCTTCAGTATCCTGCATTCGTTACCTACATCAGGCTTATCAGTTCGTAGAGTCCACATGATCTGTTGCCCATCATCGTGGTAATAGGTACGCGATAATATGGGTCTGGTTTTCCGGCGGTTCTACCACTACGCATTCTACTGTCTGTCTTCTAGCAACAATCATAATTGGACGCTGGGAGTTTACACCATTTCATGCCCAAGTGAAATAACTTCAAGTCCAGGAATAATCACAGTGAAGCTAATCGTACTGGTATTACGCATTTTTTAGTGATTCGTCGTGTAAAGCAAACTACTGGGATGAGATTCGAATTTCCCCTTTCCGGACATGAAACACAGTGCACGTGGAGTACAGAAACCAGTGGGGCCAAGAGCCAAGAGAGCTGCACGATCACGTCGGTTGAACCGTAGTGGCTTAAGGCAGCTGAGTAGTGCTTAGGTTTCGGTCAACGGTTAAGAATGTTTACCGGATGTCTGTCCTAGACTGAACAAAGCAAGAATCACGTACTTGCCAAGAGATGCCACGTACATTGTGGAACCAAAAGCTGCTGTATCTATGTATTGCTGGGATGTGCTCACTTTCCAAGTGGTCCAAAAAGGTTGCTCGTCCTTCTCAACGGAGACTGGTTGGAGCCAATCTAAAAGGACAGCGTTGAGTGTGTTCAGTGAGCTGGAAAATGTTTGAAACCTATTGAACAGTTTTTTGCCTCATAGAGGCTTGATAAACAAACCAGGTAAACATTCCTAGCTCACGACCGACCTTTGAGTACCATTCAACCGCGTCAAGCCAACGCATTCGAGTGGTTGTACAGCTGTCTTGGTTTTTGGTTTCATGCTAATGTCCTACGCTCGAAAGGATATTTGAAACTCAAACAGTGATTCGTTTTACACGACGAGAACCAAACAATCAACCGTGCATCACAGCAGCACGATGGAACTCTAGTTTTGAAGCGATTAGTCTTGATTGTGATATGATTATCCCTGTTCTCGGAGTTGACAAGCTCTAACAGAGCGAAACTCGAGTCCAGTACCTTCCCTCCTTCGTTTGGACTTACCAGAATGATTGTGCCAGGACAGGAGAAGCATTGAGACAGTAATGTGAATATAAGGAATAAGTAGTCAATAAGTTTTCTACAACAGTCAGTTATATTACGATTATTAATTTTCGAATCGGTGTACCAAGGGAGGTGGATGAACTCAAATTGCACTTACCAAGTTGTACCAATGGGTTTCCGTGTTTGCTTTGTTCAGCTAATTTAATAATCTGCGTGTTAGCTTGTGTGCCAAACCCGCCTCATCCACCTGGGGCTCTCTTGGCGGGTGATTTTGTCTGACTTAGTCTGCTCAAACTTAGACTGCCTCCGTTCCTTTTTACTTGTCATCTTACAGTTGGTGTCACTTGCTCTTAATTAATCGGCTGATTTATTATGCGTACATTTGTTAGGCCGATATGACTACTACTTTCCAACCAGTTATGAGCAAAATGTCTCTGAATCGACCTCACGTATATGGTTCTTAACGAATTGTTTTCTGTGTGTTTTATAAAGGCGGCATAATTTCACTGTCATGCTTCAACACTGTTACGAGGGTAACGATTTTTTCACTTGCGTACACTTAATACTACTTCTGTCTTGGATGGTATTATTAACACGCCCATGTTTCAACTCCCGTACATCTTTATAACCCCTCAGCTTTAGCTCAACCCGTTGCGGATCAGTATTTCGAACCACGCGGAAGAATGTTCAAGCATATCGTCTGCCCTCATTTCCTATTCGAAATGGCCATGTATTTATCTTTGCACCTTCTATTGTGCACTTCCTGGATACCTTTCTCGCATATGGTCATTTTCGTTTTAGTCAATCAGTCGTGCAGTGCGTGGTTGAGCTATCATTGGTACCTCGAACGCTTTCCCAAATGGACTTCCAACCGGTATGTCCTTATTCCATATATCTGGTGACACCTTTCCTCGCACTTCCCGTACCCAGTGTTCCCGATTTTTTCTCCGGACCGTTGTTTAGCCGTTCCTAAACGGGCTTTTTCGTTGCTACTTTGTTAGGATGATGTTTCTTGTTTGTGGCGAACTGCTATGTACACTTTTTGTATCCAATCATGTTTGCATTAATCCTTCCTTACGCTTTCCTTGTGTTTTTCCCGGAGGTTTGTCACCTCATACGTGTCACCCGTACATGATTTCGAATAGCTTTGATTTCCCCTTCCTTCACTGCAATTTCTCCAGAAAAAATCACTGTGGGAAACTGACAGAATTTCGACGTACGTACCGGTGATAATTTCTGCCCAGCTTGATGCTCATTAAGTGTGCAATTTCACGACTGGAATACGATAAAACCCAACCGCGCACTGTACATCTGTTTCATCCTTGTTAGAAATCATCAGCACTGTGCATCTCACAAATGTCGGTGTCGAACCCGCAACCGTCTCTCCAGTGATTGGACATCTAACCATTTGGCCACTGGCGGTTGATCAACAATATGATTAACTCTTACTTAGACAGGACATAGGGCCATTCATCCTTTAATTACGGAAACCACTTCACGTGACCACTTATTGACTCCTCGATTAACGACTTCTCAGAAGAAACTTGCACTCATCCTGTGAAATTATTTTTCCTTTGAGCTGAATACGCGGGGATTTGGTTGGTGAGGCTCCCGATACGGAATTTTGAGTGACGCTTGGGTTTGACAATCCCGAATATCACAGGAAGGATTGGGTTCGAGATTTTATGGCATTATTTACACTAGTGTAAACAAATTTACATACAACAAACCTCAACTGTCCACGTTCGTTGCATCAACAAGTGCTGAATTCGGTCACTGACCGTGTCAACGTCCGCACACCGAACAACGGCGAGCGGAGTGTTGTAGTGTAGGTCGCGGTCATCTATTCTGAGGATGGTCTGTCAGTGATTGCACCGATCACACGGAATTCATGAGAAAACAAGTCAAGACAAGCTCAGCAAACGGGATACGAACCCGCATGGGTAAGTAGGTCAGCTACGCATATTCGCACGCAGGCAGGCCCTAATACAGTGTCGGGCGGGACGATCTTTGCGGCAAGGTGAGTGGTGGGTACAGATCAGCTAAACGAATGCAGATCCAAAGTCCAGTGGCGGAGTAAGCAAATGAATGGGGAATTTTCCTGGAGTCAATTTAGATTAACTGGAGATTTCGTCCTGGCTTAACCTGTACGTTTTGCTGCGATGCCACTGAATCTCAGAAGTTGGTTTGTTTTGGCCTTTAGCAACTACTGCGCTTTCCTTACGATGGTATAGATGAGAAAAATGGACAGTCACTTCCCGAATACTGTGGTGTAGCAATGAATGGAGTGAGATGCTGATTTGATGTTAGATTGCTCTGCTGTGCGGATTATGCAGAACTATGGTACACGCGGTAGACGACGGCGGTCCGGTTCAGCTGTGCAGTTACCTTTATTTGGTTCCCAGCCGATGAGTGGAACGGGTACAGCACAAACACGTATTTTTGTAGGATTTCGCCCTGTAAGTGAAGCCAATCTATGCTGAAAAGCCTAGAAGCACTGCTTCTCACACACAGTGCTGCTTCTCACAGTGCTTCTCGGCTTTTCAGCATAGATTGGCTGCACTTACAGGACGAAATCCCACAAAAATCTCAAAATCTCCTCACCTACCAACAACAAACACGTATCTGTGGCAATGGCCTGATCAGTTCAGTTTAGGATGCTGATCGAATCAGGGATTGCATGCTACTCTGTTGTATTGGTTGTCGGGATAGCTTCGTGATGGAAATAATGGCTTTACTTCGCAGTCGCCGCTGTGGTGTATCAGCTTGTCACCTTGAATGTGTGGCGTCTAGACGGCTGTTCGCAGAGAGTCACAGCGGTTATCGCAACCTAATTTATGGGTTCATATGCATTTTTAACTCTACCTCCACCCAACGATAAAAATGCATCGCATCGTAATCGACATGATGACCATACTAACTTATCAAACGTATTGTGAGATTACCCGTTCATTTCCTGCACCTTCATTTTCACAGTGATCGTAATCGGCTTTCGTATTCCCACTGAAGAAATGTAGAAAATAGGAGGCATGAATGGTGGATAACTGTTATAAGCTTGTTACAAGAAAATGGTTATCCTCGAATCACTTTCCTAATAATTCAGCTTGTTCCGCCGTACTACTCTGCAGGATCTGTCCAACTTCCGTTAATTACCTTCCCATTTGAGGATACATGTGGGCGCAGTTATGGGTTAATACCGTTGCTGTCCCTCCCTTAAGTCGCAGTAACTCGCCTCCTGGTGCATTTTGTTCCCATCTATTTAGCTCTTGAAGTTTTCATGTGCCGGTATTTAGGTTGTCTTTTGAGGTATGATTACCACTGCGCGTAAGTGGTTGCTTAGACCTAAATTTCTGTCCTTAAGAACTGATGCTCACTAGCTTGTTCTCTCCCCAGGGTCACCAATCATAGGTATTAATTAACAGGTCCTATCTACCCCAAGCTTCATTTCTTTCTAAGCTAGCGAGAGGCTCCATGCAACTGTTACAAAGGACACCTATATACGATGTGTTAAAGAACACACAACCCCATCTTTTAGATTATTTGGTGACTAAGGTCAGAGGAAGAAATCTTCAAAATCTGAATACTAATTTATTCCTTGAATCTTACCGGTCCATCAGAAACCCATGTTGATTGATCATGCACAAACTGTGAAGTAAATCAAGTCAAGGGCTAACTTCTAAATTCATATAGCTAAGCCTCGGTTTGGTTTGTATGCTTTCAATTATGGCACGGGACCGGTTGAAATGTGTACTCAACGAATGCATAAAAATGCCTCATTTAAAAATCCACTGCGGTGGGGAGGACATGCGTTCATCGTTTACTCCCTTTCACACGGATAATCTTATTGCACCGGTACAAATCAGGTTGTAAAACCACAACAGAAATACAAATCAGCCTTTTGTTCGGCTCTAGTTTTTTTTTCAGTTTATGTGTACGGTTCTATGATCGTGACCCTTCAATGGTCAGGTCATTATTAAATACCCTCATTTATATCAAGACCGTTTGTGCATTGATGAGTGTCAACCAAATGACACGGTTTGTCATTAGTTTCAATATGCTTTTAACCTACAAGAGGGCGACATGCCTCAGTGGTTGGACCGCGGATTTACCGACCGGAAGGTTCTTAGTTCGAACCCGACCTGTGCTTCTCGTCTTATTCTGTCTAGGCTTGGGAAACCTGACAGTATCCCGGCTCTGGTGCTTCATCCTGGTGGCAAGGCAGTCAGACACCGGAAGGGTGCTACAACTGAACAACTTTCACCTAGGAGCCTCTCTACTTTGGTTTTTTTTTTTAACGTACCTTTGACCCATAATCCTGACTAATGAAGCTAACGCTCCTCAAACAGCCAACCAGTTTCATTGGAGCTGACATAAATCTTCTTGTATCTTGCCCCTAATGCAATTGCTCAGTGTAGATAATTCTAGAGATAGGATTTTACTCACACAGGTTTCAGCAAGCACCGTTCTGTATACTTTGGAAATATCCGCACCATAAAGTTAGCGAGTCACTGTGATCAGTTGATTCGGTGTACTGCCTTGTCATGGATTTAGTCAGGCACTGATAATCCCCGCGATTTAAAGTTTCGCACCTCAAAGGCAGCGTATGACAGCCATTTTTCATCAACTTCACTATTTTAATATTGAGCCAATTTCTTCCGGATCGGGGAGGCATTATTGAACGTCATTCTGTAATCGATGGTCACTAGGCTTGGTCAGCAAACTGTTTGTTGTACTCAAGATCTACTCTAGGGAATACCTTAGCATCCACCGTCCTACATAGGAGCCGGAGACAATAAACGACACTAGTCACCAAATTAATGCGACCGAGCCACTCAGTGTGATTTAACGAGTGCCACCTAATTGTCCAGAGGTTGTTAGTGCTCTGGTTGTAACGTAATTAGATTAATTATCAGATGACAAGCACTGACAAATGTCTGTTTTACCGGAATGATGATTACAATAGTTATGTGCACTTGATAAGATTGAATACAATGCAAGAAGGGAATGAACCAAAAAGTCACTTATCATGTTAGGACAACTTTTGAGAGTTCCTGAGTGGGTTTCCGGACGCGGGACGTGTCTTCAATATAGCTGGTACACGCGTTCCGAATTTTCCGCCTTGTAGAGCTCGGTTGACTTCCTGTCCTGTGACCACGCACGACAAGTGTTAGGCCTAGTTGCGTGCTTAGTTAGTGCGTAGTGCGAATGGGGGTGCCCATTGACGTGAGATGACTGCACGAACATGAATACAACTTGACCTGATGTGGTTGAAGTTCGTAAGCCTGGCGCGTGACGCAGGTGATAGCCGCGTCAGCAAAAATGAATTGGAAATCGCAGTGTACACGTTGTCGGTTAGGGTTATAAGTGGGACAGGAATTGTTACGTGATTTAAATGTTTGTGACGCGTGATCTAGTGGGTGACCGCTACAAGGTCATCTGCAAGAGCGCACTCGGAACAGCATGGAAGATTGCACAGCCATCACTCTAGCTGAAAAGAAGCAATGAAATTTTCGATCCTACCTCAGCTCATCAGTGACTTCTCTCCCAAAGGAACTCATAGAATAATTTGGGTACCAGTCTTTTTTTGAGTTTTAACCAGTTGTGTCTCACTGATTGTCCCCACATCCCTGCAAACCACAAGTAAGTCACCAGTAATGGGATTTTTCAGCAATACTGTTGGTGAGTATTGCGACCTGAGTTCAACTAGGAATATTTTATAAGTCCAGGTGATCTTCATGCACGCCATGGTGTCAGCAAAACTTTGGGTGTTCTCACTGGAAACCGAAGCACATCCATCAAAGTAGGGCTCAGTCACTACCCTCATGATTTACGGTGTATTCGGAGCTTGAACAGTCGAGACACCGGGTCTGACGAACACCAAAGAGACTAACAATATCATTCTGTCTTGGGACACCATAAAGTTTATACGTCACGAATGTTGCCGCAGATGTTAGTTTACAATAAATTTTCGGTTCAAAACAATGTGGTCAGATTATACGGTTTACCAGATTCATGTCGTTTAACTTGTTTCGTTTGTTTAGTTCTTTCTACTGAGTGAACCGGCATTCACTTCCCCGAATGTCGCAGTTTTTGTCATCAGCGTCATTATATCCCGCACGTGGATCGGCCATTCATGTATAGCTTGTTTCCTATTCAGTATTGTTCATAAATAGTACGCACACGTCTAGTACACAACAGGTTATGCCTCACGCAGAACATCTGCAGACACTGTAGGGGGATAGCCCAGCTTAGCGATTACGATATACGCACCAAAAGTCTGAAACGTCGAGCGACTGAACGCTGTCCGTTTTTGTCGGCAAGTAGCATATGCTAAACAATACCTGGGTATGCTGTCGAACCCAGTCGTTCAGAAGTGGTCTCTAGGCTTTGGCGACCCGATAGTATCTCATTCCTCGTTCTTTGGTCGGGTGGCATGTCGGTTAAGCGTTGTAAAGGTGTTACAGCTGAACAATTATGAGTATTAAGATTACGAAGTTAAAACTCCTTTGAAGTGTGAGGTAGCATTTTTGTGGGACCTGAACGAATTTCTTTTTTGGTGTTTTTTTCAACCGGTTCATGTCAATTAGAAAGCTTCAAACTACTTGGAGGTTTTCGTTGATGCAACCATAAGTTCGATCAAATTTGTTACCGTCATACTTTGTTACTTCCGAAAATTATGCAGAGTGACACCAACACCGGGCTGTCTTTGTGAGATTCAAACTGGCCCTATCCAGGTCAAACGTGCTGTGGAACAAACGACTGGTTTTGCATACTGGCGTCTCAGTTGACTGGATCTGGTCTCGAATATGAGCTAATTAATTATGTTATAGAGTGGCAGCTCACAGGATGTGATTCCACCGCAGACAATCGGATGGAGCGCAGCACCAAGTAGTCTCAAAACGCGGTCGTATCGGGGGCGTTGAAACGAGCACAATCGTTCCGGGAGATGAAACTTTCGTGCATCTAATACTCAGCATTAGCGTGTCACTTTCCCAGATATTCTTCCTTAAGGTCCGTAAACAGTACGAACCAATGAGAGGGACAAAGTAAACATTCTAGATGACGCAACGTGTGCGTGAACTCCTTCAGTGTGGTTAAACACATGCCAACTAGATGGCGCGGTCTAGTGAGCACGCACAGAAGAACAGTGGTTCTGTGTGACGTCTACGAAACTGCATTCAAGTCTGTTTAGCTTCAGCGAATTGGTTTTCCCACGCAACAGTGAGCAGAAAGAAGGATTGGTTTTAGAAGCAAACAAAACACGTACGGTGGGAAAGGACTAGTCATTAGGTTCTTTTTATTTTCTGTAGGTCAGACAACCTGTCAGTCACTCCGCACGTTCTCTTCCCTCTGGGGCGTCCCATACTGTGTAACTTGAATGGCGTACAACTCAAGTTCGGGTGAAGCCAAGATCAGTGCGCGAACACACCTGGGTTCTATTGTTCAGCTGACTACAACCAACACTGCACTACTTATCCGACTGAACTGCAGTTGAACCACGATTCATTTATCTGGTCTGTAAGCCACGATTATACCCATATCAGTAGTTTGTGTGTTCGACATCGGAGCTTAGAGAGCTTTCACGACCCACTGACACAACAGCGGGTAGCGAATGAAAGGCGTTCGTGTCGTATCTTGTAAAACAGGGGATACACTAAAAGAGTGCTGGATGTTATAAACAAGCAGCGGGATTTTCAGCCTGGGACATAATTGAAGGAAAAAATCGACATAGATTTATTAGGCTATTTACTTGCGTTTTTGTGGATCTTTATGATGGTAGCCTCAACCATTTACGTTCACTTATTCGGTGAACTCTCAGAGCATCCGAACCAAATTGAATGTTTCGGTGTTGTCCCAATCTATATGTTTTCAATACCTTCCGTTGCCAAATCGTTGGCGAAAAAGCCGTTTTGGTTTCGAATTCCAGAAATGTGTCGCTCACAATCATGCGACCCCAAGCGGAACGTAGACTCTTCAGTGCACATCCCTAGTTGGACGGGGTAATAATGAGCGTTTCTGGTGTGAGGAGCGACTGGATCATTTTTTTGCACATGTGCATTCCTATTTAGTTTAGGAATATGTCATATTTGCCTGTGCTTCAAAGGTTAATTTCCATAGGTTTCTGTAAGGATCGTATCGATATCGCCAAAAATGTACAGGCCACTTTAGCTGTGTTTTTGCTGTTCGCCTCTTCGTCTTCTCGGGGTACTCTATTTGCTCCGTATCAATCTGATGTATATCAATGTGGTTCTGAATCCAAGGAACTCAAGTTAATCTCTTGTAACAACATTTCTAATATGCAGGTTGACGCAGAGGTCATCTCCATATTTCCCGTCACTCATGGTGTGATTCTTGCACAACTTGCTATCCGGTAACTGAATAGCACTTTTTCGAAAAATGATCTTATTCGAACAAAGTTGCAGTGAAAATGTTCCTTTGATCTCGGCTCTTGAGCTTCACTAATCACAGGGGAGTCTCACTGTGATCTGAATATTAAGTCGCCTCCTGGTTTTGCGTCAGTTGACGTTTAACATCTAATTCACGTTTATTCGTATAAACTCCTTGTCTTTCTGAAGCTAATGTATTGTTCGCCCAATATGCTCGGTCAATCGAAAGGGGCCCGTCAGATGGGAAATTGATTTTCACATCACAGATGTATGTCATCTGCGGTTCACTTTCACAATACCCACAACAGCTGTACGAAAGGAATAAGGTCATAAGACCACTAGCTATCACCTCACTGGTTAAAAAATTTCGTTCGGTTGTAGGACCCTTTCGGTGCCTAACTGCCATGCCACCCGAAGGAAGCACAAGGGCTGGGATACTGCCAGGTTATCCAAGCCTAGACAGGAGAAGTTGAGATGCAGTGGTCGGGTTCGAAACACAGATCCTCCGGTTAGTAAATTCGCGAGCATTTATCCTCTTACACACCAGGTTTCGCGGGAAACCTAATGAAGTTAACGCGGCCCATTGTTGGTTAATTCACATGTATCACTTGATGGACAAAAGAGTAGATTATTGTTTCGACATTCGCCTGTGACCAACATGCCATTGAGTTACACGGCATCGTGAGCATCATTTACAACGTGATGCATATCACCAACCCGACTCAGTTTGTCGAATTATGCATCCACAAACACTGAAAATATTACCTGATGACAGCGTTTCCCACAAATGTACAGTCTAACATCAAGAAATTGCTGATC